CCTTACACTTGAACCTCCTTCTCCCCCCTTCCTAGCTGCCAGGCGGCCTTACTCCGGAATGGTTAAGGGTGTGTGTGTGGGGGGGGGATGGGGAATGTGTGGCTGAGTCACCCGGTTCAGCCCGGGGCGACCAGCAGCAGGCGACTCATCTGCATTTCCAAAGGCCCGCCCCGGCCACATCCCCTCCCCCAGCCGCAGGGCCGGAGCTGTTTACCCAGGAGCCCTGCGCCTGGGGGGGACCCCGGGGAGAGCCAACTCAGCTTTCCCAGGCCTCCCCCCCTTCCCCCTCCCCCCGACCTCAGCCTCCGGAGCGCGGGTGGGAGGGCGTGCCCTGCGCGCCCAGATCCGGCCTCGGTGGCTTCCACGAGGGCCCCTCGCCAAACGGGGCCCCTGCGCCTCGGGCTCCACCATCCAAGGGCGCCTTGCGAGCCGGGACCGGGCGCCGAGGCCCTGGGGTGCAGCCTGGGGTCCGGGGGCGGCCTCGAGGCCCCGATCGGGCCCCGTGGCCCTTTGCTACTGGCTCCCGCACGGGCGGGAGGGAGGGGAGCCAGGCCTCCCGGTGCCCGCGGGGGCTCCCCGGCCCGGGTGCGGGGTGCGAGCCAGCTGCGCGGCCCGAGCTGGGCGTCGAGGCCTCCCGGCCAGGGGCGGCCACCGAGGCGGAGGCCTGGAGCGTGGGCGGCGGCGCGCCGGGCCCTCTCCCCCCTCCCTCCCCACCTCTCCCTCCTCCCTCCCCGCCCGGCGCGCAGCGGCCGCCTCCGCCCCGGCCGCGGGCGGCGCGCGAAATGGCGCCGGGCTGCGCGCCGCGCCCCGCGGAGGCGAGAGCCGGAGCCCCGGCGCGCGACGCCCCCGAGCCCGGGGGACCCCCAAACACGGTCTCCGCCACCAGCCCCGGCTCGGGGCTCCGTGTCCTCCGGGGTCTGGCCCTGCCCAAGGACCCCCACGTCCCCGGGCGCGCCACGACCACGGGAGGAGGAAGGACGAGCAGAGCAGAGCGGCCGCCATGAGCCGCCCGGCTCAGAACCTGAAAATAAACTCGTGTCGGAGGGAGGGAGGAGGGAGGGGGAAGGGAGGAGGGGCGGCGGCCCAGGCTGCAGGCGGCGAGGCGCTGCGTCATGGTGCCAACATGGACGCCGGCCTTTGTCCTCTGGCTGAGCGAGCGCAGGCGCGCCCGGGGCGCGGGGGCCGGCTTCGGGGTGCCAGACCCCCCCCCCCCAGCCCAAAGGGAAGAGGGTCCCTGGGCCTGGCGGGGGCGTCTCCTCGTCCTCGGAGTGACCCCCATCTCCAAAGCACTCCCATCTCTCTCCTCCCCACCGAGGCTCCGGTCCAGGAAAACGCGGGGCCGCATGGGTGCCCGAGGCCGCCGGGGAGCCGCCTCCGGGCGGAAGGGGCGCGGGGCCCGCAGAGCCCTCCCCGGACCCCCAACCCCTCCCGGGCCCGGCTGTCAAACACAAAAAGCGCCAGACACCCTCTCCCCTCGGCTCCCCCACATTCGCAGCCTTTGGCCTGCTCCGAAAAACACATTTCCTCGAAGGGGCAAAAGGCACTTTTTTTTTTTTTTTTTTTAATAACTTACCCGTTCAGCCCGGTGCCATGGAGTCTGGAAAGCAAGCTGGGCGGGCGGGCGGAGGGTTGGGAGATTTGGTATTGGGGGGAAAAATATCTGTGTGGGAGACTGTTGGGGACCTTGGGAGAAATGGTGGTGCCTTTGGTGGTTGTTACCTTTCTGTCAGTTAACTCTCATGGCCTGTTCTGCTCCTTCCACTGCGGTGACCTTCCCGGGGCTGGGTTGGCAGAAGGCGGCTTCGCTGAGGACTGTTTACTGCTCTGGCTGTGGCCATGGTGGGACCGTCATTAAGAGACAAAAGGCGAAAACACACAATCAAATCAAACAAAAGGCAAAGAGACACGCGGCCGTCCCAACCTCCATAGCAAATACCCACGAGTTAACGTTGGTGTTTGGCTCGCACCAGCCAGGACTTGTTTTCCAGTTTTAATCTAGTTTCCTGTGACGGCTTTTCGTCTCTCTACACAAAGAGGTCTTCCCTTTCTCTCGCCCACTCCTCCATCCAGACCAGAAAGAAAGAAGAAAAAAAAAAAGAAGAAAAAAAACCCCACAAAACCCCAGAGCTGTTTTCCTCCAAACAGATCGATTTTCAAAGAAAGTGTCCATGTTACTGGGAAGAAAGCTGACTGGCATTTATGGCTGTAAACAGTTCCAAACGCTTCAAAAGCTAAAGCCTTAGGTTGATAAAAAGCAACGTCTAAAAGCATTCTTAGCTGGCTTATTATTAGACAAGAGCGACAAAGACAGACATGCAGACGAAGGCTCAGAAAATTAAGGATATCTCAGCAACATGAACATGAAAACTGCACTGCGTAAGGCGTAAGGACAGAATGGACTGGGTACTTACAACGTAAAAGGTTTTTTAAAAAACTTAAAAAAAAGAGTAACAACTGCTTACAGTTATTTTGTTGCTGCCATTTCGCTAGTTCTAAAACTATTACATTTAAAACATTACCTTGTTAAAAAAAAAAAAAAAGAGAGAGAGAAAGGAGTTAATAAGATGGCCAGGTTTAAGTGTTTAATAGAGGAAACTATATATATATATATATATATATTTAAAAATTTATTGTTCAGTTAAGAGAATACAGATTAAGACAGCTCCAAGCTCCCCCCACCCACCCACCCAAGAAGAAAAAAAAAAAGGAAAAGAAATTAAATATGTCATTTACTTAGTTTTTTTTGGAATTCAAAACTGTTAACTGCTGACATTAATGGTGTGCTATGACCTAGTTACACAAGACAAAGATGGATTCCAAGTCATAAAGGAAAAATCCAGATCTTTTTAAAAACGTCTTCTCCAATTCTTCCAACTGTGAGAGTCCTTTTAGCCTTGTTGACCAATGCTACACACAACACTGTGAGGCGTCCTGCCCTGGACGGTGGAAGTCAAAAGGAAAAGCGTTCTCCCCCATTTGCAACAAAGGAAAAACCCACTTGGCCATTTAATTCCATTGCAGAAAAATGGCTCCCCTCATCTGTTGGCCTCTCCTTGGTGTCTGATGAAGGATGTTTGGAGATCAGCGTCTAAGAACTCGAGCCCGATGGAAGCCGCGCGCCCATTGGCTGCCGCGCCCCGCCGCCCTGCTCCAGCCAATTACCTCCCCACGGCCCGATTACGAACCCCGAAAAGAGCCCCAACATGAGATACACCCCCGCCGGGCCCCGGCGGGGCGGCTCCGGGCCCCGGCCCGCCCGACCGGGGAGGCCGCGGGGGCCGCGAACGCGCCCTCGCCCAGCCCGGGAGCCGCGGCGCCGGACTCACAAGATGGAAGCCGCGCGCTGATTGGCCGCCGCCGCTCCCGGACCTTTAATAAAGAAAGGGGAAGGAAGAGAGAAATGCAAAAAAAGGGGGGACTCTCTCCGCTCGCTGGCGGCTGGGAGGAGGAGGAGGAGGAGGAGGAAGAAGGAGGGGGTGGGGAGAGAGAGAGAGAGAAGAGAAGCATGTGTTCTGGACAATTACAGGGCTCTCTGGCTCTCCAAAAATAAAAAACAAGAGCAAAAAAAAAAAAAAAAAAAAAAAAAGCTTGTATCAGCCAGGTCCAGGCGAAGGGCTGCATCCTCCCAGGCAGGCACGGGAATGCTAATTTGGTGAAAATCCCGGTTTCCCCTCCCTGAGCGCCGCTCCGGGAGGGGGAGGGGGGTCGCCGGGCCGAAGAGGAAGCCGCCCGGAGCGGAGATACCTCGATTGCAACTCGTCGTCTTGCTTCCCCCCACCCCCTCGCCGCAGCTCGAGCGTCCAGACACACAATTACACCCCAAAACCCCAGCCCTGTGCCCCCCCAACCCCCACGCGCCCACCCCCGGCCTTGGCAGTTTGGAGACAGTTGTGGAGGCCCGAGGCGCACGCCCGCCGCGGCTCCCAGGGCAGCCTCGGCCGCGGGAGGCAGAGCCCGGGGAGCCCCCCGCCCCCGCCCGCCGAGCCCCCCACCCAGGTCCCCGCAGAATAAATAAATTAAAAGGCCTTCTTCCCCCGGGGAGGGGGAGCGGTGTGGGAGCGCGCGGGCGAGGGGTGGGGGGCCGCCGGGGCCCGGGCTTTGGCGGCGCAGCTGCCGCCGCCGCCGCCGCCGCCGCCGCCGCCGCGGGGAGAGCCTGGGGAAGCGGCGAGGCCGGCGAGGGGAGGAGGAAGAGGAGGAGGAGGAAGAGGAGGAGGGTGAGCGCTCGGGTCGGGCTCCTTAGCGGTGTATTGTGGGATGTGCGGCTCCTGGGAGCCGAGCCTCCGCCGCCAGCCGCCTCCGGGGCAGCAGCAGCAGCGGCAGCGGCAGCGGCAGCGGCAGCGGCGGCGGCGGCAGCAGCTCCGGGCCCGGCGGCGGCGGCAGCAGCGGCGGCGGCTCCCCCCGCGCCCGGCCCCCCGCCCCGCAGCCCCGGCCTCGGCGCCCGCGGGGGACACCATGTACTGGCTGGCGGCGCAGGGAGGCCGGCGCCCGGCGGGGATGTAAGCGCGGCCCGGGGAGGGAGAGGCCCGAGCCCCCAGCCTCGGGCCCGGGCCCCGGCCCCGGCCGGCCGGGCGGGCGGGCGGCGGGCGGAGCCAGGCCTGCCGCGAGCCCCGCGCCCGAGCCGGGCCGAGCGAGCGAGCGAGTGCGCGCCACGCCGGGCGGCCGGGCGGCTCCATGGGCCGGAGCCCGCGTCCTCCCGGCGCCCGGGGCCCCGCCAGCCTGCACCGGGGGCCCCCGGGAGCCCCTGGCTGTCTCCCCGAGACGGTGGCCGAGCGGGCGGGCTTGTAATTCTCCCGGAAGGCTTATAGTCTCTCGCTCTATTCTTTATATATATATATATATTTTTTTTTGGGGGGGGGAGCCGGCAAGACAGCGCCTTTCGGGGCGCGCTGGTAAGGTGGGAGGGGGTGGGGGCCGGACCATTCGGCTCCCGGGCGAGTGTGTGAGCCGCCGCCGCGGCGGGGACGACAACAACTTGCTCGCCTCCAGGTTGGGTTAACGGCATGGAGAACAGTCACCCCCACCACCACCACCAGCAGCCCCCGCCGCAGCCCGGCCCTTCGGGCGAGAGGAGGAACCACCACTGGAGAAGTTACAAGTTGATGATTGACCCGGCTCTGAAGAAGGGACACCACAAGCTGTACCGCTACGATGGGCAGCACTTCAGCCTGGCGGTGAGCGTCCCGGCGCCCTCCCGCCCCCCTCCCTCCCCGCCCCCGGGAGGGGGGACCCCGTCCCGACCCCCCGACCCCCCGGCCAACTGTCAGCCCGGAGTTTGACAAGTGGCCTGGAGAAGGGGGGGGTCTGCCCCCTGACCCCGGAGCGGGACCAACCCCCGCCCCCCGCCCCTCTGCTCCCCATAGATGTCCAGCAACCGCCCGGTGGACATCGTCGAGGACCCCCGGGTGGTCGGGATCTGGACCAAAAACAAGGAGCTGGAGCTGTCGGTGCCCAAATTCAAGGTGGGACCCCTCCCCCTGCCCCGCGGCCCCTCCTCCCCTCCCCGAGTTCGAAAATAACGCCAGTCCTGGCGGGCCCTGCCGGATGGGTTCTGACCGAGTTCCCGCCGCCCCAGACGGGGAAGTTTTGGCGGGGAGGGGAGGGGGGGATGACTGAGAGAGGGGGGCGCCCCCGGAGCCCCTGTGAGCGGGAGGACCCCGCGGGGAGACTGTGATCGGGGTGCCCATGCCGGGTCCCGCCCGCCCCGCCGGGGGCTCCCGCCCGCCGAGGGCTCGGCCCCGGACCCGCCCCCCTGCCCGGCCTCGGGGCTCCAGGGGGACCGCTTCCCAGCCCCAGGGGTCGCTCCGGACCCGGCAGCCGGGAGCTGAGGCCCCCGAATGGAGGGAGGGTCAAGGGGCCAGAAAGAGAAACTGTTTCTTTTTCCCCTTTCGAACCCGGAGGACTTCCACGTTCCAAACGATTTAATCCTCTGCTTCCCGGGCCCGCCCGCGTGCGTTTTTTCCCCCCCAAATTTATTTTTTATTTTTTTCCCCTTCTACCTTTCATTGTTTTCAAAGGGCAGGCCAGTAGGGAAGGTTGTGTTTTCCCCTTCAATTCCAATGCCCTCCAAACTCCCTCCTCCTCTTCCTCCTCCTCCTCTGCTGCCAGATCGATGAGTTCTACGTGGGCCCCGTGCCTCCGAAGCAGGTGACGTTTGCCAAGCTGAACGACAACATCCGCGAAAACTTCCTGCGGGACATGTGCAAGAAGTATGGGGAGGTGGAGGAGGTGGAGATCCTGTACAACCCCAAGACCAAGAAGCACCTGGGCATCGCCAAGGTGGTCTTTGCCACCGTCCGGGGCGCCAAGGAGGCCGTGCAGCACTTGCACAGCACCTCGGTCATGGGCAACATCATCCACGTGGAGCTGGACACCAAAGGTGAGTGGGGGCGGGCTCAGGAGCTCAAGACCTGTCAGTGCGGCCCCTCCCCACCCCCCGAGCCCCTCCTGCAGTGTTGGGGACCCCTCACTCTCCCTTGAATGCCTCTCTACCATCTTAAAAAAAATTTTTGCCCCCACCCCCCTTTCTGAGGATAGAATCACGTGGAGTTAAATGTGTTGTCAGTTGCTAGGAGACAAGCTGTAATTTACCAAATGTGCGGGTCCTTGGCCACTGTGCCTCCGGGGACCATCCGGAGGCTTCCCCACCGCGGACACCCAGGGGGGCCCCTCCGGAGCCCAGGTGGCCTGGGCTTCGTCAGTGAGTCCCCAGCGCTGCCCCCTGCGAGGGGAGGAGTCTGGGTTTGTTTATTTGTGGGAGGGGGGGGATGAGGGAGAGCGGACCAGGATGTCTTTAAAAATTCATAAGGAGTGTGTCCCTCAACTAAAAGGGGAGTCCTCCCAGGATCCGGGGTGCCCTCCCCCCATGCCACCCCCTCCCCCTGGAAGTGGGAACCAATCTGGGCCCAGAGTGTGGTTTCATTGATAATGTTCCAGATAGCGTGGGGCGGGCTGCTCTGGGTGCTCTAGGGTTGACACTGTGTGGTCCCTCCTCTCTCTTAAAGAGACAGCAGCACCTCCCCAGCACTGTGCTCACTCCCTGCTGGCTGCTGGGAGCGGCCAGCTGGGGAGGCCACACCTCCCACCCTGTGGGGACAGGCAGGCTCCTGCCGAAGCCGGGCTCGGGCTCGGAGGGGTGAGCAAGGACTCCAGTTCCCGCCAAGACAGAAGGGGCTGAGATCGGTGGGGGGCATTCTGAGGACAGGCTGGCCCCGGGACCGGGCAGATACTCTCACTGGGTCCAGAGCCACTCCAGGTCTCTGGGTGGGCTGAGGTGGGCGGCTTCCAGGGCACACAAAACCCAAGACAGAAAGCGCTGGACCTTTATTTTTGCTTTTAACGGTGATTGCACATGGACTGAGTCTCTGAGGCCTTGATGGTCCTGGGTGGGCTCTGTTGTCCCCTGAACTCTGCTGAGCTGTACCTCGTCCTGAGTCTCCAGGTTCCTCTCTGAGCCACAGCCCCCCACAGCCCCAGGTCCAGTTTATCAATCTCTGTGAGGGGAGTACAGACCCTTTCAAACTTACATCCCCTCGGGTGGCTGCAGGCCTGAGAATCCAGTGGGGAGCCCCCTCCCCATTCGAAGGAGCAGCCGGCTCTCACCAACATGTCATTTCTGCAAAGAAGAGAAAAAGAAAAAGAAAGAAAGAAAAAAAGGTGGGGGGCCCTCAGAGCTGCCAACTAAGTTTGTATTTCAAGAAAGAGAGCAGTAAAGTGTAAAGTGAAGCTCCAGGAATGCGTCTCCTTTGCATATGTAAGCAGCTGCCCCTGGGGCTCTATAAATACCGGCATCTGGGGCCCCTGTCTATAGAGGCCTCTCTGCTCTGAGGGGCAGAAGGTCACCGGATGGGGCTGGTCCCCCCAGCTGGGGAGTCTGCTCAGAGCTGGGGAGTCTGCTCGGAGGGAGAGGCCTGTGGTGTTCACAGGAACCTGGTATTTATTGTAAACTGCTGGTCACCTGGCCCCCAACAGTTACCCATAAACTGTCCCTCTCCTCCCCACACGCCGCCAGGCCCTGGCTGCTCCTGGCAAAGGGAAAGGGCAGGACTGGGGGGACCCGGCTCTTTTCTCTGGGGGTCCAGGTGCAGGAAGAGGCTTTGTGTTGGGGTGGCATTTCTGTATTTGGGGGAATCCCAGCCCCACCGGGCATTAACTTCTGAGTCTCAGGTGAGAAAAATCATACAGCGTAGCAGCCTCGCGGAGCAGATGGGGCTCCTGGGGAGGGTGCAGAGAGGTGGGAACTGGGGTTAGACTCACACAGCTTCCCTAGGCTTGGGGTCTCAGGCACGGGGACCCACAAAGAAGCCAGCCTGTGGGGGCCGCCCCGTCGGGGAACTGGCTGAAGCCCGCCTCCCTTGTCCTCCCACAGGGGAAACCCGGATGCGGTTTTATGAGCTGCTGGTCACGGGCCGGTACACACCCCAGACCCTGCCGGTGGGCGAGCTGGATGCGGTCTCTCCCATCGTGAACGAGGCCCTGCAGGTGGGTTTATCACATCAGCGCCCCTCTCCCCGTCACCAGCTCCCTCGTGTGGCCCCCAGGGCCGAGGAGGGAACCGAGCCTGGCCACGCACAGCCTGGGGTTCCCACGGCCCCAGAGCCCACCTGGAGCCCGCTCTCCTCGAAGATGCTGCACCCGGTGTCCTGCGCACCCCTCTACCCCTGCTCCCAGAAAGCAGAGTTCAGGTCCCTCTTTCCAGAGCAAGACTGACCCCCCCCCCCCCCCCAATCACCGCCTCCCAGGATGATCCATGGCCCACCCACACCTGAGTCCTGTCCCAGCCCTTCCCCAGCCTCTGCCCGCCGCCCTCCGGAGCGGCTTTTCCTGAACGAAGAGCCCAGCTGGGTTCCTTAGCCTCCTTTGCCAGGTCCTATTATTTCAACCAAAACGCTGAGAGGCCACCTCTTGCCCCCATGACCGTAGTCCTTGCTGCTCCCCCTGCTGGGAAGGAGGCAGGAAGGAGGTCCCAGGTCCCACCAGGATGTCAGGATGTTCTCTTTTCTCTGCCTCAGGGACAGGAAAGACCCTCCAGGGTCCCTGAGGATAACTGGCTGCCCTGAGAGTAGCCAGACGCTCCTCTTCAACCTCCCGCGCCCCCAGCTTCACATATTGCCGTCCTGAAGCGACCAGTTTGGCTCTGAACTCCTGGCAGTCAGAGTGAGGGGGACAGATCCCCCCAGTGATCTCACCCCCCTCTCTCTCTCTCTCTCTCTCTCTCTCTCTCTCTCTCTCTAGTTGTCTGACGCCCTGAAGCGCCTCAAGGATGGCGGCCTCTCCACGGGCTGTGGCTCGGGCTCCTCCTCTGTCACCCCGAACAGCGGCGGGACGCCCTTCTCCCAGGACACCGCGTACTCCAGCTGCCGCCTGGACACCCCCAACTCCTACGGGCAGGGCACCCCGCTCACGCCGCGCCTGGGCACCCCATTCTCGCAGGACTCCAGCTACTCCAGCCGCCAGCCCACGCCCTCGTACCTCTTCGGCCAGGACCCCGCCGTGCCCTTCAAGCCCCGGCGCCACGAGAGCAAGTTCACGGACGCCTACAACCGCCGCCACGAGCACCATTACGTGCACAACTCGTCGGCCGCCCCCGCGGTGGCCGGGGCCGCGGCCGCCTTCAGGGGCTCCGTGGACCTCCCGTTCGGGGCCGTGGGCGGCGCGGCCGGCGGCGGCCCTCCGTTCAAGGCCCAGCCACAGGACTCGGCCACGTTCGCCCACACTCCACCGCCCCCCGCCCAGGCGACCCCCGCTCCCGGGGTCACGTTCAAGTCTGCTTTCTCGCCCTACCAGACTCCGGTGCCCCCGTTCCCCCCGCCCCCCGAGGAGCCCGCCGCCCCCACCGCCACCACGGCCGCCCCCGCCGCCGCCGCCGCCGCCTTTGGGGCCCGTGACAGTGGGGAGTTCCGGAGAGCCCCTGTGCCCCCGCCCCTGCCGCCCGCGGAGCCCCGGACCAAGGAGAAGCCGGGCACGCCGCCCGGCCCCCCGCCCCCCGATGCCAACAGCTTGGAGCTGGGCGGCCGGCCGGCCTTCGGCTGGAGCCCGGAGCCCTGCGACAGCCCGGGCACCCCCACGCTGGAGCCGCCATCGCCCGCGGGGCTGGAGAAGCCGCACGACAGCCTGGACTCGCGCATCGAGATGCTGCTGAAGGAGCAGCGGACCAAGCTGCCCTTCCTCCCAGAGCAGGACTCGGACCCGGAGCTGCAGATGGAGGGCAGCCCCATCTCCTCCTCCTCCTCCCAGCTCTCCCCGCTGGCGCCCTTCGGCGCCAACTGCCAGCCGGGCTTCCGCGGCCCCACGCCGCCCTCCTCGCGCCCCTCCAGCACCGGCCTGGAGGACATCAGCCCCACGCCCCTGCCGGACTCGGACTCGGACGGCGAGCTGGACCTGGGGCTGGGCCCCCGCCCCCCGCCAGAGCCGGGACCCCCGGACCCCTCCGGTCTCCTGGGCCAGGCCACCGAGGCGGCCTTGGACCTGGCTGGAGACAGGACCCCGACCTCGGAGAAGATGGATGAGGTACCGCCCGCTCTGTCCGTCCGTCTCTCCTCTGGGGTGGGCTTTGTCCGTCTGGTGTCTCCCTCCTTCCCCCTCTGGAACAGCATCTGCTCGGACATCTAGCTAAGACATAGAAGCAGCAGGGCTAGAGCGGCCAGAAGAGCAGGTCAGCGGCGGAGAATGAAAAAGGGATGCAGGAGGCACGAGGCTGTGATTGAGCCGCTGGCTTGGCTCTTAGGTTCCCGAGTAGCCGAGGCGAGAAGGAAGTGTGACCTAGTTCTGTCGCTCTGTCACTCTCCCGGCCAGGAGGGGGAAGTCAGGGCTTCCCCGGGATCTCTTCTGGCTCCATCTTCTTCGGTGGGAGTCTCTCGGGTCCCAGAGCGTACACGGGCTGTGGTGATGGTGCGGGCTCCCTGCTCTGTGGGGAGGCTTAGGGATGGATGATCCGGGCTGGTCCCGAGGCTCGGGAAGGTTGGGGAGAAGGTGGGAGCCCTGGAGCCTCCGGAAAGAAGGGGAACCATGGCGGGCAGGCAGGGAGGGCATTGAAATGTGCCTTCTTCCACTTCCCCTGGCTCCGTGGCGAAGGAGTTAAGGGTTAGCCCAGGGGAGGCCACAGCCCGGAGCCAGGAGGCTGTCCTCAGCCTTAGATCCTCTCCTGGGGTCTCATTGCCCGAGCCCCCAGCTTCAGGATTGCTGGGGGGGAGAGGGGGGAAGGAGGGGAGGGAGTGGGTACTAGGTCATCTTCCTTGACCACTCCTCCCCTCCGGAGACCTGCGCTGAACCTGTGGGCCGGAACCTGTGGGCCGGATGGGCATGAGCAGCCAGGGGCATAGACAGAGCACAGTGCCCCCGTGGGTGGCGGGAGGAGGGTCCCGCCAAAGGCCCTGTGATTAGGCCGGTCTGGCTGCCTCGGGGAGGAACAGCGAGGAACACGGCCTGCCCAGGAGGGACCACAGGTGCTGGGGCTCCAGGGGCCCTTCGGGCAGTTTTGGGGAAGTGGTTTCAGGTGCCGCGGAGTCCGAGCCTGGGGAGTTGACAGGTGTGCAGAGGTGGGGGTTGCCAGCCCAGCGGCCCTCCCTCTTCCCTCCATTGACCAGCTGGGCAGAGAAGCACAGAGCAGTCGGAGGGTGGGCTTCCCCCCCCGAGTCACTGAAGGGAAGCGGGGGAGACTGAGGCCCAGAGGCCGGGGTCCTGGGTGCCTCGGGACCTTATTAGCCCTGGAAGGCCTGGGAGCACTGAAGACCTCCAGGCTGGCCTCGCGCGCCCCCTGCTGGCCGCTGGGAGAGCAGCATCTCGGCTCCTGGGTACTGACCGAGGAGTTGGCCCCCCCCCCCCCCCCCCCCCCCCCGGGGCCGCTCTGGGGCTGGAGAGCTGCGCGGGGAGGCCCGCGTTGAGGAGGGGGAGGGGGTGGGGGATAAAGGAGGGAGATCCCTTTTCTTCACAGACTGGTGGTTAAACTGCAGGCGCCAGGCCTTGAGCCCGGCTCTGGCACGCGCTGGCCAGGTGACCTCAGGGAGGGCACTTTCCCTGTCTGAGTCTCAGTTTCGGGGCCAGTGAAATGGGAAGGGGAGAGCACCTGCCTCACACTGGGCCTGAGGGGGGCGCCGCCGGGGGAGCTCCAGGCACCGCCTGGGCTGGCGCTGGGCGCTGGGCGCTGGGCGCTGGGCGCTGGGCACTGGGGCTGTTTCCTCCGGTTCTGGTTCTCACCCCAGGCGAGGCCGGCGGAGGGAGGGAGGGAGGGAGGGCTGGAGGGAGGGGCCGAGGCTGAAGCGCAGATCCCGGCTCCGGTGATTGGCCGGCTGGGTTAACCCTCTGCTGGCGGCCGGCTTGCTGGGCGCTGTCCAGGGCTGATCCTCTGGGCGCTGTCCCGAGCACCAGGCGGGGTCTGCCCGTCGCTCGCTCTCGCGCTCTCAGCATTCGCGTGGGGACCCTGGGAGGAGGGAGAGAGAGAAGGAGAATAGAGAGGACCTAGCAAAAGCCAGAGCTTTTTGCTGCTGCTGCCATAGACTTGCTATTTCTCTCCACACCCCACACCCCGTTTTCCTGTGAGGCCTTCCTCGCCTGTAGGCTGACCTTGCCGCCTGCACACACCCCGTCCGCCTGGGCAGCTTCTCGCCTCTTGTCCTGACTCAAGAGCCTGGGGGTGGCCTGGCCCTTTTCTCCCCGCCCCTGCTTGCCTTCTTGCTCCACCCCCACCGTGCAGCCCCATGCCTCCCCCCTGCATCCCAGTGCAAACTGGCCCTTGCCCGTTTTAGAGCTGGGGTCACCCTCGACTCCCCTGTTCTCCCGGGGTGGCCACCAGATCCCTGGGCTCCGCAGCTGCCCGCGCCCCGGGCGGATCCTGGCCGGAGCCCCGGCCTGCCGGTGCCTGGCCCTGCCTCTCGGGCCAGTGGCTTCCGGCTCTCCCGCACGCTTCCTCGCCTGTCAGGAGGGAGGGGAGGGGAGCCCCGCATCCCGAGGTCACAGCGCGGACAGGAAAGGGGGCGCCTGTGCTCGCCGCAGCGTCACTGACGGCGGCCACGTGGCCCTCCGGCGCCGAGGGGGTGGAGAGCTGCGGTGCGTTCCACCACTCGCCTGTAAGAGAAGGGAATCTCGCCGGTTGCAGCAGCGGGGGTGGGCCTGGAGGGCATCTTGGGAAGTGACATAGCCAGGGAGGGAAAGACAACACCATGTGATGCGCTCACATGTGGAATCTAATGAGCAAAATGAACTAACAAATCAGAAACAGGCTCATAGATACAGAGAACAGACTGGCCGCCAGAGGGGCAGGGAGTTGGGGGGCTGGGTGATAAAGGTGAAGGGATTAAGCACAAAACAAAACAAAACAAAAACAGAACTCAGACGCAGACAACAGCGTGGTGATTAGCAGAGGGAAAGGTCTTGACGTGGGCCGGTGAAAACAGCAGAGCACACAGAGGGTGTGTTGTAGAGCTGTACGCCTGAAACCCGCACAGTCTTACTGTCCATGTCACCCCAGTAAACGTAATCCTAAAAACAAAGTGAGAAAAGAAAGGAGACGCAGCCCCACTCTGGCCCATGCAGAGTGGCCCATCATCCATCACGAGACTAGATGAAAAGGGTAATTAAGGGAAACAAAGTCATACCTCCTATTTATGTAGCCTTAGTCCTGTCAATCCTCCCCCACACCCCCACCCCCCACCCCGGTCACAGGTCACCTTCTCCTCCGGCTCCTCTGCCACAGTGAGGACCGCAGGCTGACCGGGAGCCCCTTCTGGTTCAAATCCCGGCTCCGCCTCCTGCTGGCTGTGTGGCCTTGGGCAGGGACAGAAGCTCTCCGTGCCCGCTTCCAGCTCCGCAGAAGAGGAGGTGGCAGGCCTGCCCCGTAGGGCTCTCTGAGTTGATGTATGTGGAGTGCTGAGAGAGGTGCCAGGCTCACAGGGAGAGCTGCGGAGGCGTTGGTTATTAGCGTTATCCTCTCTGACTGCAAATTGAAACAGAAGCTCTCAAACGGAAACAGAATCTGTTCTCCTCCTCTCCCCGCACCCCCTTCCCGGCTTCCTTTTTCTCCGGGACACACGGCCTATTTCACCTCTTTCTCCCGGCTCCCTTCTCCTCTCCCCTCCGGGAGTCCAGCTCAGGGGACCTTGCCTGTCCTGTTCACCGCTGCGTGGCCAGCACCGAGGACAGTGCTGAGGGAATGTTCGTAAAATGACTGGGTCCTCATGATAACCCCGGAGGCAGGGACTGGGGCGCCCATTATGCAGATGGGGACACTGAGGCTTAGAGAGGTGACGTGCGTTGCTGAGGCCACGTGGCTGGAGGCCTCTCCTCCAACTCACCAGCGTTGGGAGGGGGTTCTGGGGGGGGCTGGCCTGGCCCCCCAGGCTCACGCTCGCTCACGCTGTCTCCCTTCTCTCCGCAGGGCCAGCAGTCCTCAGGCGAGGACATGGAGATCTCAGACGACGAGATGCCCTCAGCCCCGATCACCAGCGCCGACTGCCCCAAGCCCATGGTGGTGGCCCCGGGGCCGGCGGCCGTGGGAGGCCCCTCCGTGCTGGCCCCGAACCTGCCGCTGCCCCCGCCCCCCGGCTTCCCGCCACTGCCCCCGCCCCCGCCCCCCCCTCCGCCGCAGCCCGGCTTCCCCATGCCCCCCCCTCTGCCGCCCCCGCCGCCCCCGCCCCCGGCCCACCCGGCCGTGGCGGTGCCCCCGCCCCCGCTGCCGGCGCCGCCCGGCGTGCCGCCCCCGCCCATCCTGCCGCCCCTGCCGCCCTTCCCGCCGGGGCTGTTCCCCGTGATGCAGGTGGACATGAGCCACGTGCTGGGCGGCCAGTGGGGCGGCATGCCCATGTCCTTCCAGATGCAGACGCAGATGCTGAGCCGGCTGATGACCGGCCACGGCGCCTGCCCCTACCCGCCCTTCATGGCCGCGGCGGCGGCCGGGCTGCAGTTCGTCAACCTGCCGCCTTACCGCGGCCCCTTCGCCCTGGGCAGCACGGGCCCGGGCCGCGGGCAGCCCTGGCCGCCCCTGCCCAAGTTCGACCCGTCCGTGCCGCCGCCCGGCTACATGCCGCGCCAGGAGGACCCGCACAAGGCCACGGTGGACGGCGTGCTGCTGGTGGTGCTCAAGGAGCTGAAGGCCATCATGAAGCGCGACCTGAACCGCAAGATGGTGGAGGTGGTGGCCTTCCGGGCCTTCGACGAGTGGTGGGACAAGAAGGAGCGGATGGCCAAGGTGGGCGGCAGCGCGGGGGCGGGGGGGGGGGGCGGAGCGGGGGCACCTGGGGCCAGAGCGGGGGGCCGGGCCGGAGTGTGGGGGGCCGGGCCGGAGTGTGGGGGGCCGGGCCGGAGTGTGGGGGGCCGGGCCGGAGCGGGGGGGGGAGGGCCTGGGGCTGGAGTGGGGGGGCCAGGCCGGAGTGGGGCCCCGGGGCTGGAGCGGGGGGGGGGGGCGCGGGGGGACCCCAGCCGAGCGGCGGGCCCGGTGGCACCCTCTCCTCCAAGACACCCCGGGGACACTGCCCCACCCAGGATAGGCCCGCAAGCGTGCCGGGTGTGAAGCAATGTTTTTTGTTTTTTTTTTATAATATTTCCCACTTTTTTTTTTTTTTTTAACATCTTTTATTGTTGTACAGAGAGGAAGGGAGAGAGAGAGCGAGTTGGAAACATCAATGAGAGAGAGACATCGATCAGCTGCCTCTTGCACACCCCCCACTGGGGATGTGCCCGCATCCAAGGTACATGCCCCTTGACTGGAATCGAACCCGTGACCCCTTCAGTTCCCAAGCCGACGCTCTACCACTGAGCCAAAGCGGTTTCGGCTGAAATGATGTTTTTGGTGAATTGCCATCTCGGGGGGCATCCCGGGAGCAGCTGATTGCCCTGGGAGGGGGCAGGCCGCTCGGGGCACCCGGGGGCGTCGCCGGCGGCCCCCTCACCGCGGGGACGTCCCCTCTCCCCCGCAGGCCTCGCTGACCCCGGTGAAGTCGGGCGAGCACAAGGACGAGGACCGGCCGAAGCCTAAGGACCGCATCGCCTCGTGCCTGCTGGAGTCGTGGGGCAAGGGCGAGGGCCTGGGCTACGAGGGCCTGGGCCTGGGCATCGGGCTGCGCGGGGCCATCCGCCTGCCCTCCTTCAAGGTCAAGCGGAAGGAGCCGCCGGACACGGCCACGTCCGGAGACCAGAAGCGGCTGCGGCCCTCGGCCTCCGTGGACGAGGAGGACGAAGGTGTGTGCGTGTGTCCGTCTCCCCTCCGTCCCGGGGGCGGCTCCTCCCCGTCCTCCTCCCGCCGACACCCCCCTCCCCACAGAGTCGGAGCGCGAGCGGGACCGGGACATGGCGGACGCCCCCTGCGAGCTGGCCAAGCGGGACGCCAAGGGCGTGGGCGTGCGGCGGCGGCCGGCCCGGCCCCTGGAGCTGGACAGCGGCGGCGAGGAGGACGAGAAGGAGTCGCTGTCCGTGTCCTCGTCCTCGTCCGCCTCCTCCTCCTCGGGGTCCTCGTCCACCTCACCCTCCTCCTCGGCCTCGGACAAGGAGGAGCCGGACAGCACGGAGGAGGAGGAGGAGGAGGAGGAGGAGGACGAAGAAGAGAAAGAGGAAGAAGCCCCTGGGAGCCAGATCTCCTCCTCCTCCTCCTCCTCCCCCTCCTCCTCCTCCACGTCGGATAAGGTGCCATTCGGGGCGGGGCGGCCGGGGTGCCGGGCGGGCGAGGGGGCGCTGTGCTCACCCCCACTCTGTGCCCCAGGATGACGATGACAGCGACGGCCGCGAAGGCTCGAAGAACGACGGCGACGAGGACCTGGCCGCGTCGGAGGCGAGCAACAGGGAGGAAGGCGACTGGGACGCCGGTGAGTGGGGCCCTCTGCGGCAGAGCCTGGCCCGATCACAGCCCGTCTGGGCACACGCTCCCGGCCCGTGGTCCCGCCCCGTGAGGTGCCGGACAGGGGTCCCGGGCTGGGAAGCAGGCCAGGGGTTGCTGGGGCGACAGGGCAGGGACCGGGGGGTGAGAGCCCAAGGGGATGGCTTCTTCTCGAGCTCCTGAGGCTGCCAGAGTGCTCGCACCCAGAACCCTCTGCTTTAAAGGGCCCTTTTCTGTGGCCTGGCTGTCGCCTCAGTTTGAACAAGTGGTGACTCGTTCACACACGTTGCCCCTGTTTCTGAGGGGCCCCCCCCCGAGCCCCTGCAGCCGCCCGGCTGGGGCAGCGGGAGTGACCGCTCCCCCCGTGTCCCCCTGCGCGGCGGAGTGACCGCTCCCCCGTGTCCCCCCGCGCGGCGGAGTGACCAGGCCAGGGCGGCGGAGTGACCGCTCCCCCCGTGTCCCCCCGCGCGGCGGAGTGACCGGGCCGGGGTGGCGGAGTGACCACTCCCCCCGTGTCCCCCCGCGCGGCGGAGTGACCGGGCCGGGGCGGCGGGAGTGACCGCTCCCCCGTGTCCCCCCAGAGGAGACGGCGAGCGTGGCCACCCGCAGGGCGGGGCCCGGCTCCTCCAGCAGCAGCTCCTCGTCCTCGGAGTTCGAGTCCAGTTCCGAGTCCTCGTCATCGTCCTCGGAGGATGAAGAAGAGCCAGCGGCCGGGGAGGAGGAGGAGGAGGAGGAGGAAGAGGAGGAGGAGGAGGGGGAAGAGGAGGCAACCACGGACGAGAGCATGGCCCCCGCCGTCCCCGACGAGAACTTTGAGGAGGACGTGGCCGCCAGGGCCCCGCTGATCGAGCCCGTGACGGAGGAGGAAGTGGACATCGAGGACGAGGGTCCCGGGGAGCGGACCCCCACGATGGAGCAGCTGCCCCCGCCTGCGGGCGTGAGAGAGCCCCCCAGGGAGCCGGGTCCGAGCCAGGAAGCGGCCAGGCCCCCGTCTCCGGAGCCTCCTGCGACAGACACGGAGGCCTGCCTGCCCCCAGCCCCGGAGCCCCCCCGAGGTGACTGCCCCGGCCCCGCTGGGTACATCAGGGAGCTTTCCCAGGCCTCAGCTTCCCCACCTGCAAAATGGGGTGGATGGCCGATGCCCTCGCTGTGGGGAGGGAGGGGAGGAGAGGGTGTGGGTGTGGAAGGTGCCAGCACAGAGCCCGGCACCTGCTGGCTCCTCAGAGGGGACAGTCCCGTGTTTCCACAGTTAGTCCTTGCTGCCCCCAAAGAGGGCCAGGCAGGTGGGGAGGCTCTGGGGTGCGGGGCCAGGAGGCAGGCCGGGAACACGGGCTTTATGCTCAGGAGAGTCTCGGGGACGCGGAGCTGTGCGTGGGTCGGGTATCGAGCGCGCAGTGGGGCAGAAGTAGGGCACCCAGAGGTGTTTGAATCGACTAACGTGGCCTGGTCTCCACCCGTCTCTGCAGGGGAGGACGTGGACGCAAAGCCCGAGCCCCCTCTGCCGCTCTCCGTGCCTCTGCAGCCGCCGTTGCCACCCCCTCGACCGCCCCGGCCCCCCAGCCCGCCGCCCGAGCCCGAGCCCCCCGAGCCCCCGCCCCCGCCCGCCCCCCTGGAGCCGCCCCCCGAAGACCAGCCCCCGCGGACACCGGGCATCTGCGGCCTGGCCAAGTCGCAGAGCACGGAGACGGTGCCGGCCACGCCCGGCGGGGAGCCCCCGCTGTCGGGGGGCAGCAGCACCCTGTCCCTGAGCTCCCCGCAGGTGCCCGGCAGCCCCTTCTCCTACCCGTCCCAGTCCCCCAGCCTGGGCAGCGGCGGGCTCCCCAGGACGCCCGGCCGGGACTTCAGCTTCACGCCCACCTTCCCCGAGCCTGGCGGGCCCCTGCTCCTGCCCCTCTGCCCCCTGCCCCCCGGCCGCCGGGACGACCGGCCCGGCCCCCTGCCGTCCCAGGTGCTCCTGGAGACCGGCCTGCCCCTGCCCCTGCCCTTGCCCCTGCCCCTGCCCCTGGCTTTGCCCGTGCCTGTGCCCGTCCTGCGGCCCCAAACGCGGGCCCCTCCCCAGCTGCCGCCCCTGCTCCCCACCCCCCTGGCCTCCTGCCCGCCCCCCATCAAGAGGAAGCCGGGCCGGCCCCGACGGTCCCCCCCAGCCCTGCTCTCCCTGGACGGGTCCTTGGTCCGGCCGCCGGGGGCGGCCGCCCTGGGCAGGGACCTTCTGCTCCTGCCGGGCCAGCCCCAGACCCCCGGCTTCCCCAGCGCCCACGACCCCCGGGCTGTGACCCTGGACTTCCGGAACACGGGGATCCCGGCCCCCCCGCCGCCCCTGCCCCCCCAGCCGCCCCCGCCCCCGCCCCCGCCCCCCGTGGAGCCCGCCAAGCTGCCCTTCAAGGAGCTGGAGAACCAGTGGCTGGCGGAGGCCGCCCCCCCGGGCCCCCGCGGGCGCGACGATGTGGCCGAGGAGCTGCTGGAGCTGGCCAAGGCGCGCGGCCCCTGGCGCCGGCCGCCCAGGAAGCGCCACGAGGACCCGGCGGCGCCCGCCTCGCCCGAGCGCTCCCCGCCGCAGCCCCTGTTCCGGCCGCGGACCGAGTTCGAGGAGATGACCATCCTGTACGACATCTGGAACGGCGGCATCGACGAGGAGGACATCCGCTTCCTGTGCGTCACCTACGAGCGGCTGCTGCAGCAGGACAACGGCATGGACTGGCTCAACGACACGCTCTGGGTCTACCACCCCTATATCCTGCCCGCGGCCGCGGCCGGGGGGCGGAGGGGGCACGGCCCCGAGGGGCGGAGGGGGCACGGCCCCGGCCCCGGAGGGCAGAGGGAGCACAGCCCTGGAGGGCGGAGGGAGCACGGCCCCGGCCCCGAGAGGGCGGAGGGAGCGGCCCTGGAGGGCGGAGGGAGCACGGCCCGGCCCCGGGAGGCAGCCTCGTGCCCACGCGGAGCCGGCGCTGACACCGGTAAACGCCCCGGGCCACCCGGCTCACCCCAGGCGGCAGGGCTCACAGCCGGCCGAGGGGCGGCGTGGCCGTTCCACGTAACGGAGGCAGCGTCTCCCTCTGGCTCCCGCCACCTAATGCGACCAGCAGCCCAGGGGTCCATCCTGTCCGTGTAGGAGCCACGGCTCAGGAAGGCTGAGCAGCCTGCCCAGGGTCACAGCCCCAAAGCGGCAGAGCTGGAATGTAAAGCCGAGCGAACCGGGCTCCAGAGCGTGGCTCCTCACCGCCTGCTCCCCTGGGCGCCGCTGGTTAACAGGGTGCTTGAGGCTGGGACTCACCTGCCCGTCCTACACCAGCGGCTCCACCTTCCTGACGCCGCGGCCCTGGAATACAGCTCCTCACGGTGGCCCAGCCGTAAAGGTAGCTCCGTTGCTGCTTCGTGACTGTGACTTTGCTACTGTTACGAGCCGTAATGTAAATATCTGCGTTTCCCGATGGTCTTAGGCTCCGCAGCAGCGGCTCTCAGCCTGCGGGGCAGGGTTAAGAACCGGTGCTGGAGAGCCAGTGGTCTTGGGCGACCATCAGAAAGCACAGATACTTAATTACGATTTGTAACAGTAGCAGAAATACAGTTAGGAAGTAGCAACAAAAACAACTTCATGGTTGGGGCCACCACAGCACGAGGAGCTGTGCGGCGCCAGGAAGGTGGGGAACCACTGCTCTAAACGGACTTGCTCAGCATTTTCTCCGTGTCAGGCACCTAGATCTCAGTAGCTATCCAGAGAGGCACCGTTAGGAACCCAATTCACAGATGGGAAAACTGAGGCAGAGAGTGGATAATCATAAGACACACCCAGGGCTGTGCAGCTAGGTCCCCCTGACGGCTAGGAGGTGGCCGGCGGGCGGGCGGGCGGTGGTGAGGTGCTGGGCAGTGAGGCGGGCTCTGTACCCTCCTGGAGGCTGGTCTGAGGGTGGCACGGCGGGGCTGGCGGGCGCGTCGCAGGAGGGGTTTGCCATCCATGTCCACGTGGCCCTTGACCCCCACCCACCCACCAGCCTCTCTTCAGCCAAGAAAAAGAAACGGGAGGACGACATCCCCGAGCACGCCACAGGCTGTGCCCGCAGCGAGGGCTTCTACACCATCGACAAGAAGGACAAGATCAGATACCTCAACAGCACCCGCGCCAGCACGGACGAGCCCCCCGCGGACACCCAGGTGCCGCCGGCCTCGGGGCCCAGACGCCGAGCCTTCGGGCCTGGGCGGCGGGCCGGGGTCCTGGACGGGTGCGGGCAGGGGGAGGGTCGTGGCGGGTGTGGCACATGGAGAGTCACCGGTGGCTCCGGTGGCTCCGGTGAGGGGAGGGCGGGCAGGGAGAGCCTCTGAGAGCTTCAGTCAGGGGTGTGGGCAGAGCTCAGTTGCGTTTCCAGAAGGCTCACTCATTCCTTTCTAATTTTTTAAAATTTTACTTTTTAAAAAAAAATATATATATATTTTATTGATTTTTTTACAGAGAGGAAGGGAGAGGGAGGGAGAGCTAGAAATATGGATCAGCTGCCTCTTGCACACCCTCTACACGCAACTAATGTACACGCCCTTGTCCGGAATCGAACCTGAGACCCTGGAGTCCTCAGGCCGACGCTCTATCCATTGAGCCAGAGCGGTTAGGGCTGATTTTACTTTTTTATTTTTTACATTTTTATTGATTTCGGAGAGTAAGGGAGAGGGGGAGAGAGTTAGAAACATCAGTGATGAGAGAGAATCATCGGTGGGCTGCCTCCTGCACACCCCACGCTGGGGATTGAGTCTGCAATCCGGGCGTGTGCCCTGACCGGGGATCAAACCGTGACCTCCTGGTTCATGGGTCGATGCTCAGCCACTGAGCAGCCACACTGGCCGGGCCATTCCTTTTTCCAACGAAGCAAATACCTGAGGAGCCCTTGCTGTGTTCCAGGCGCCGTCCTGGGCTACAGAACAGCGAACAAAACGACATTCTTTTCCGCGTGGCCCTTCCATCCTGAGGGGGATAGGAAACCAGTGAACACATGGGGTGCCAGGCGGAGGCCACAGGAGAGGAGGCTGGGGGTTGGCGCGACGGGGCCGGAGAAGGTGACACTTGAGCCAGACCTGAATGAAGTGGAGACACGGGCCCCGTGGGTCACGGGGAGGGGCCGCCGGGAAGCAGAGGAAGCCTCCGTAAGGAGCTGAGCAGAGAGGGTCCCCTGCGGGGAGGACTGGCTGCGGCAGGCAGGGCCTGGGCGGGAAGGAAGGCCAGGCCCGGTGTCACCATCACCGGAGAGGCTGCGGGAGGAGGGTTTGCATTCCATACGGGACGAGCCACAGGAGGACTGGAGCGGGCGGGCGGGGCAGCTCAGCCTGCGATCTCTCGCTCACACCGGCGCCCGGGGAGGCTGGTGCCGGATGTGCAGGGGGTCGGGCTCGGGTGGCTGTGAGGGGAGAGTGGACCCGGTTGGGGAACAGCAGGAACGTTAAGATGTTGGGAGTGGAGTGGACAGGACGGGGCTGGATTGGGCGGGAGAGACAAGGGAACGGGTGGGCCTGGCGCTGAGGAGGGAGGGGTGGCGCCTGCACTTGGGGCATCACCAGCGCCTGTGGAGTTCTGGCCGCGGCCAGCGCAGCGGGTGCTGGGAGCCGCCGCAGGGTGAAGGCAGCCAGGAGGACGGAGGACGGGATTTGAGGGAGTGCCGGCAGGAGCTGTGGTTTTGAGTTTCGGGGAGCTGTGAGGGCCGTGGTGAGAGCCACGGGGGTGGAGGAAACACACCCGCCATCTTGCCGCGGAGAAGCGGGGGCGTCCCAGGTGCCCCCGCCGAGCCGGGAAGGACGGAGGAGGGGAGGGAACGCGTGCCTTCATCTTGGGCACGCTGAGTCTGTCAGGAGGAGGCACAGAGCCAGAGAAAGGGAGTTGGGGGGCAGGGACCCAGCGTTAGGGTGAGCTCATCAGGGACGTGATGGGGCCGCGCTCCCGGGGCGCCCGGCCCCTTTCCTGACCTCTGACCTCCGCCCCCTCGCAGGGCATGAGCATCCCCGCGCAGCCGCACGCCTCCACCCGGGCCGGCTCCGAGCGCCGGTCCGAGCAGCGGCGCCTGCTGTCCTCCTTCACCGGCAGCTGTGACAGCGACCTGCTCAAGTTCAACCAGCTCAAGGTGAGGCCGGCTGGGGCAGCCGGGCGGCCGGGGGAGACCGGGACTCTCCCCCTCTCCCCCTGCCCCCCCCCCTCAGTTCGGGACTCTCCCCCTCCCCCCCTCCCATCCCCCTCCCCCCCCCCGCCCTCAGTTCGGGACTCTCCCCCTCTCCCCCCCCTGCACTCCCCCGCCCTCAGTTCGGGACTCTCCCCCTCTCCCCCCACGGACTCTCCCCCTCTCCCCCCCCTGCACTCCCCCGCCCTCAGTTCGGGACTCTCACCCTCCCCCCCCCTCCCATCCCCCTCCCCCCCACCCTCAGTTCGGGACTCTCACCCTCCCCCCCCCCCCCGCCCTCAGTTCGGGACTCTCACCCTCTCCCCCCCTCCCCCCCGCCCTCAGTTCGGGACTCTCACCCTCTCCCCCCCCTCCCCCCTGCCCTCAGTTCGGGACTCTCACCCTCTCCCCCCCCTCCCCCCCGCCCTCAGTTCGGGACTCTCACCCTCCCCCCCCCCTCCTGCCCTCAGTTCGGGACTCTCACCCTCTCCCCCCCCCCCCCTCAGTTCGGGACTCTCACCCTCTCCCCCCCCCCCCCCCCCCCGCCCTCAGTTCCGGAAGAAAAAGCTCAAGTTCTGCAAGAGCCACATCCACGACTGGGGCCTGTTCGCCATGGAGCCCATCGCGGCCGACGAGATGGTCATCGAGTACGTGGGCCAGAACATCCGCCAGGTAGGCAGGCGGGCGGCCGGGCGCCGCCCCGGGGCCGGGCGGGGGGGGGCCCAGCCTAAGAGGCTCTCCTCCAGGTGATCGCCGACATGCGGGAGAAGCGCTACGAGGACGAGGGCATCGGGAGCAGCTACATGTTCCGGGTGGACCACGACACCATCATCGACGCCACCAAGTGCGGCAACTTCGCGCGCTTCATCAACCACAGCTGCAACGTGAGTGCCGCCGTGCTCCTGGGCCTCAGCTTCCCGTCCGCGCAGGGGGCACAGGGAGCCGTGCTCCTGGGCCTCAGCTTCCCGTCCGCGCAGTGGGCACAGGGAGCCGTGCTCCTGGGCCTCAGTCTTCCCATCCGCACAGTGGGCACAGGGAGCCGTGCTCCTGGGCCTCAGTCTTCCCGTCCACGCAGTGGGCACAGGGAGCCGTGCTCCTGGGCCTCAGCTTCCCATCCGCACAGTGGGCACAGGGAGCCGTGCTCCTGGGCCTCAGTCTTCCCATCCGCACAGTGGGCACAGGGAGCCGTGCTCCTGGGCCTCAGTCTTCCCGTCCACGCAGTGGGCACAGGGAGCCGTGCTCCTAAGCCTCAGTCTTCCCGTCCGCGCAGGGGGCACAGGGAGCCGTGCTCCTGAGCCTCAGCTTCCCGTCCGCGCAGTGGGCACAGGGAGCCGTGCTCCTGAGCCTCAGCTTCCCGTCCGCGCAGTGGGCGCAGGGCGCGGTGGGGCCCTGTCCGGGCGGTGCGGGCAAAGCACTGGGTCCATGCTGTCCGCGGACACAGGCCCGCCCTGTGCAGGGCCGAGCGCCGACCTGTGGTTGGAGTGAGTGACTGAGGAGCTGAGTTTTAACTCTGTTCTTAAGAGTTTGAACTGAGACACCTCACCTGTGGCTGGTGACCCCCCGGGGGGCCTCGCAGGTCTGGAGCGGGCAGGTGTCCTGGCGAGGAGTTTCTCACTCTGAAAACAGGCCCGGGCCGCCTGGCTGGTGTGGGCCAGTGGCTGAGCGTCGACCTCTGAACCAGGAGGTCGCTGTTCAATTCCCAGTCTGGGCACATGGCCTAGTTGCGGGCTCGATCCCCAGTAAGGAGTGTGCAGGAAGCAGCCGATCGATGATTCTCTCCCTTCCTCCCCCTTCCACTCTGAAATAAATAAAAAAAAGCACAGGGGGCTTGGAGCAGGAGGCAGGCCCGTTCCCAGAGAACACCCCTCACTCCGGTTTCAGATCTTGATGTCACTGCTTAGCCCGTGACCATAAGCTACGCACACAGTGTCTCAGCGCCTCCACGTCCTGATCTGTGAACGGGAAAGGGGCAGGTCCTCCCGGTGGGGGTCGGGGGACCCAGTGTGTCCTGCGTGCAGGCCTACTGAGTGTGCTGACCAGCGGCCTCTCGGCCCTGCTGCCCTCAGGGTGGTGACCGGAGCATTATCTGGGCTGGTAGGGACTCTCCTGTGAGAGCTGCGGGGAGGAGGGATCGCCCGGGACAGGTGGTGCCGGGGCAGCGGGGAGAACGCCTGTTTGGGGGCAGCTGGGGGCTGTGGGGGTTGAGCAGGGTGAGAGCCGAGGCTGGCAGGTTGGGGGGGGTGGCGGTCACAGCCTGGCAGGCGGAGCTGACGGTGTCTCTCAAAGCTGAGGCAGGCCGCTGGGAGGTGCGGAGTCACAGGTGGAGGGTGTGCGGTGGGGAGAGGTGGCTGTGGCTCAGGGCAGACTTCCTCAGAGCGGAGGCAGGGGCAGGCCCGGGGGTGGTGACGGGCCCTGGCCGCTGCTCCTGGCCCGGGTGGGAAGCAGCCAACAGGAAGAGGCGGGCTTTTGGAGACAGACCCCAGCCAGGTGTGGGCAGATCTGGCCTTGCTGGGGGTTGGGGGGGGTGTAGGAGGTGGAGGCTTGGGGGACCTGCGTGCACGGTGCAGCGCTCCCCAGAGGTGTCTGCTGGAGCTGCCACAGGCAGACACCGGGCACTCTTAGGGTTTCTGGGTCTGGAGCAGGGGCCAGCAATTGGTAATTATATATATATTTTATTGATCTCGGAGAGGAAGGGAGAGGGAGAGATTGAAACATCAACGATGAGAATCATTGATCAGCTCCTGCACGCCCCCCCTGGGGATGGAGCCCGCAACCGGCCTGTGCCCCGACTGGGAATCGAACAGTGACCTCCTGGTTCCTAGGTTGACACTCAACCACCGAGCCAGGCCCTCCGGCCGTAAATGTTTTTGGCTTGGTGGCTCAGACCACCTCTTAGCAACTGCTTCTCTGCCACTGTAACAAAAGGAACTTACGCAATATGTAAACGATGGGTGTGGCTGTGTGCCGATAAAACTTTATTTGCTGAAATGGGGGCAGCTGGGGGCCGGAGTTTGCCGACCCCTTCTCTGGAGCACAGACGTGAGGTCGGGGCTGCAGATACAAACTGGGAGTCCCCTGCGTTGCAAATAGAAACGGAAGCCGCGGGGAAATAACTTGATGATTGTCGCCATTGTCATTATCTAATAACAGAGGCCAGGCTGGGGGGAGCTGAGGCCCGGGGCAGGTGGCGTGGGCATGGGGGCATGGGGGCGTGGGGCAGGCACGGGGCTCCGCGGGGGCCCTGGGGATAGAGGGCTGCCCGGCTCCTCTGCTCACCGTCCCCCCTCCCGCCCCCGCCGGCCGGCAGCCCAACTGCTACGCCAAGGTGATCACGGTGGAGTCGCAGAAGAAGATCGTCATCTACTCCAAGCAGCACATCAACGTCAACGAGGAGATCACCTACGACTACAAGTTCCCCATCGAGGACGTCAAGATCCCCTGCCTCTGCAGCTCCGAGAACTGCCGGGGGACCCTCAACTAGCCCGCTCCCGGGCTGCCCCGCCCCACTTCAGGTGCTGTCCTCTACCCAGCGGCCACGGCAGGGCCTGGCGCCCCGACACTACCCCGGCCCGGCTCCAGCCCTCGGCGGGAAAGGGCTTCTCCGTCCGTCCGTCCGTCCGTCCGTCGCCCGTGTGTCCCTCGCGGACGGTGTCCGACGCCACGTGAACGCCTCCGTTCTGAGTCGCTCTCCCCGGCTCCGTCTCTCTCTCCTGCCTCCTTCCCGTTGCTGTTTGTCATCAGCCTCGTCCCGTGAATGCTGCTATGTTGGTTTTTTTTTTTTTTGGGTTTTTTTTTTTTTTTTTTTTTTGTCTTCCCTTTATTTTCTTTCTTGTCAAACGAAAAGACATTTTAACCGTTGAAATGTGAAGGCAGACTCGGGGAGCGGGGACCCCGGCAGGGGCTGCAGAGGCCACTGTGGGCCGGGGCGCTGACCGGGGCGCTGACCGTCCAGCAGCCGGGGCGCCGGTCCGGTCGCCACACCGGGTGCTGCTCACACACAGGAGGGGGCTGCCGGCGGCTCTGACCTCAGAACACTATGGAAGGCCTGCCCTCCACCCATGGACTCCGTGAGAAGAACCTACAAACCCCGCCCCGTCTGTCCTTCCCCCAGCAGCCCGGGAGCCACGTCCCAGGCAGGAATCCCCCCCCAGGCTCTCTGCCACCCCACGTCTGGGTTCAGTGTTTACTTTCTCATTCCATCATTCGAATGCCAGCAACGAGGGGCCCAGCAGGAGGGCCGGCGTGGGCAGGTGGGGCCCTGGGAAGGGATTGTCCCGTCCTCCCCGTCGCGGCCAGAGGAGGGCCGCCCAGGGCAGGCGGGGCCAGTCTGGCCGCTATGGGCATCTGTCCGAGATGCACGTGGACTTTTTCATTTATGAGCGTCACCTGCTCGCTCCCAGCCTGCACTCTCCCTAAGACATCAAGCGCATATTTATTTCCAGAGTGAGACGCTTTCTCCCAGAGAAAAGGAAGATCTTGGAAAAGATTTCAGAACTCAGATCTAGACCTGACAAGGTTTTCTTTTTCTTTTTTCTTTTTCTTAGTCCCTCCTTCCCCCGCTCCCATTCCCCCCCATCCCCACCGCCCTCTGCAGGGTTCGAGTCCACGGGCTTGGTTCTCGTGCGCGGGTAGAATCCAGCGAAAGGGGAAGGAGGTGCGCGAAGCTCAGACCCCACTTCCGTGTAAATAGCTAGGCTGCCGTAAAGGACTTTTTCTCGGGAACATTGTTTCTTGTAGAAACACGTGGGAAGACTTTTTTTTTTTTTTTTTTGCTCATTTCTTTGTACTTCCAAAAAAAAAACACAAAAAAAACAAAAAAAATCACCCAGGTCCCCGCCACCCGGACGCAGAACAGGCGTGTACATACCTAACGGGACGCGACCAGGACTCGGCCGGCCGCCCGCCCGCCCGCCCGCCCGCCCACGAGGCCGCCACCGCCCGGCGAGGGGCCTCTGTATCTCGGCTTGTGTCAAGCTTGTTATCATGTAAATTCTGTACAAAGAATTGTTATTTTTCTTTTTCTCTCTTTTTTTTTTTTTTTTTTTTTTTTGTCGTTGGTGATTTTGTTGTGTTTTTTCTTTCTTTCGATTTCTTCACCCCGAGCCCTCTCTGTTTGAGACTGTGCCCGCCGCCGCCCTCACTGAGGCCGCCGGCGGCGCTGAGACGCAGAGGGGGACCCTGGGCACAGCGGCCACCTTCTCTCCCATTTGCGGTTTTCTGCCTAATTGTGCGACCGAGGAAATATTTATTTTTCACACGAGGAAACGTGTAGCTTGTAGAGACGGCTGATTTCAGTTACGTGTGCAGCCCCCAAGGGGCTGTCTTTGTTCTCCCCCCCCCCCCGCCCCCAATAGAGGAAGTGGAGGGGAATGTGGGGAGACCTGGCCTCCCCCCGCCTCCCCCCCCCCAGTTGTCCCCAGGAGCCCCCGCCCCCAGCCCCGGAGTGGTTTGTCATGTCCAGAAATGGACCGGCTGGTTTTTCTTTCAACGCCTTCCTTCTCATTGAAGAAATCTTTGCTTTGGAAGTGTTGGGGGTTTCTGATCCCGCCCCTTCCCTGCCCCTCCCCAACTTGCTTCCCTCCCCTCCCCGCCCACCCCCCCTTCCCGCAAAGAAAAGAACCCTCGCCTTTTAGGGGTGTTTGTGCTTCTAGGCTCTCTCCGTATGGATCTTGTTTTGAAGAGAAGTGTTTCCGTTGTGGGTGTGTCTTGCTGTAAATATTTGTTCATATTTTTGTGAATTCAATACTATGTACCATTGTATTATAGTAACTTTTATAAAGCAAACCATAAATATACTGACTTTTCTTACAGATACGCCGTCTCTCTTGCTCTCCTCTCCCTCCTTTCTCTGCTTTCTTTTGGGGGCACACCCTGCCCCGTGGAGGGCGGGCTGGCTGTGCCAAGGGCAGAAAGAGATCTTAAACTGAGTCACAGCTTTTTAAAATATATATATATTTAATTGATTTCAGAGAGGGAGAGAGAGAGAGAAACATCAATGATGAGAGAGAATCATTGATCAGCTGCCTCCAGCACACCCCACGCTGGGGATCGAGCCCACGACCCAGGCATGTGCCCCGACCAGCAATCGAACTGTGACCTGGTTCATAGGTCAACACTCAACCACTGAGCTACACTAGCCCGGCAAGCCACAGCTTTTTATAGTTTCCCGTCCAGAACCTTTCTTAAAACCCTGGGGATCTAACACTGCTAATAGTCGGCAGTTAAGGAGAGTGGATTCAGTATCCTGCTGTCATGACTAGAACTCAAAAACGTTGGGCATTTAAGGAGACAGTAGTGCTGTTGTCTGCATGTGAGGAGGGAGGGATGGGTTAAGCAGGTGGGAAGAGTGAAATATATGTGTTGTTTGTTGTATTCCAGAGAGGTCTCAACTCTGCCCAGTGGTGAGGTGACTGGGGGACCCACGAGATTTTTTATTTATTTAAATTGTTGTTGAAAGTATTACATATGTCTCCCCCCAACACTCCCCATTGATCTCTCCCTGGCCACTCGCCCACCACCCATTTTTTTAAAATTTACTTTAGAACCCAGCCAGTGTGGCTCAATGGGTTGAGTGTCTGATTTTGAAGAAAAATGTCCTTCCAAGAGCTTTAGGACTAATAAGTAGCTCCTCTCTCAACTGCGTCATTCTTTTTTAAGTAGTCATTCACACTTGAGTATGAACTAGCAAGGCTGTGGGGGACTGGAGCTGCACTGAGGGAAGGGGGCTCAGATCCCTCCTCCCTGTTCTACCTCTCAGAGCCAGACACCGTGTCCCATGGCTGCAGAGCAAGAATGCTCCCCCGAAGTCCCTTTGCTGACACTCTTCCCTCTTCGTGCTCAGAAGTTTGGGCTCCTCTTTAGAGATCAGAAAGCCGCCAGAAAGGAGAAGGCTGCCAGGGGCGGTGGGTCCACCTTCTGACCTTCACTCTTGCTGTTCCCTCTTCTGGGGGTGCTGTTTTTCCACATTTTCCTGCGCTGGCCCTCAAATGTCACCCTTGATGGAAAATTAATCTCCCCCTTTCCAGTTCCACCTCCACACCACCCACTTGCTTTTTATTTTTTAATTATATTTTTATTGATTTCAGAGAGGAGGGGCGAGGGAGAGTTAGAAGCATCTGTGATGAGAGAGAATCATTGATGGGCTTCCTCCTGCACACCCCACACAGGGAATGGAACCCTCACCTCCTGGTTCATAGGTCTACATTCAATCACTGAGCCATGCCGGCCGGGCCCTGCTTTATTTTATTTTTTTAAAATATATTTTATTGTGGGAGAGGGATAGAGAGTTAGAAACATCGATGAGAGAGAATCATCCATCAGCTGCCTCTTGCACGCTCCTTTACTGGGGATGTGCCCACAACCAAGGTATATGCCCTTGACCGGAATCGAACCTGGGACCCTTTAGTCCGCAGGCCGACGCTCTATCCACTGAGCCAAACCGATTCTGGCTGCCTTATTTTCTTGAGAGCATTTATCCCTTCAGCAGACGATACTGTCTTCCCTTCTAGAGTGTGAGCCCCCTGCTCCCCGGTTCCAGGGTTCCCCACCACCACACCGTCCTGTTAGCAAAGCGCTTGCACCTGGCGCCTCCCTCCGCTCCCGCTGGGGGGCACCCGACCCCTCACCCGGACGCCTCCTGCAGCGCTGCTGCTCCCTGGCGGCCACACGGCGCCACTGCCCCGCCTCCCACACAGACACCGAGACACCGCATCGGATCCCCGTCCGCTTTATTGCCCTGGGCCGAGGGGGCGTGGTCAGGAGGTGGGCGGGACCGTGGGGCGGAAATCCCAACGAGCTGGTGGGCGGGATCTAGAGGAAATGGCCAATCAGAGAAGGGCTTGCTGTTCAGAGATGCGGGTGGGCGGGTTCCAGGGCTAGGGGGCGGGGCCTCGGCGGGTCCGGCTGGGCTCGCGGGGGCGGGTCTACATGCCCCGGACCACGCCGTTGGTCTCCATGTCTGTGAGGTTGCCCCGCAAGTTCTGCTCCTCCTCAAAAGCCTTGAACAGTGCATTGAAGTTGCCGGCTCCGAAGCCCTGCAGCAGGAGAGGGGAGGGGAGTTGTGAGTCCAGGCAGCCAGCCAGGCTCACCTGCAGGCCCCCCCTGGGGCTGGCTGGGGCACTGGTGCCGCCCACCTGGTGGTTGTGGCGCTGAATGACCTCCAGGAAGAGCGTGGGCCGGTCCTGCATGGGCTTGGTGAAGATCTGCAGGAGGTAGCCGTTCTCGTCGTAGTCCACCAGGATTTTCAGCTCCTAGGTTGGAAGGGGAGGGCGAGGTCACGGGGAGGTCACGAGGTCACCACCTGCCGAGCCTGGCACCCCGGATTCCTTACAAAGTCCATATAGGAAGGGGCTCCTGCACCCCCGAAGCCAAGAAAAGACCTGTGTCTCCAACAGCTCCAGACAGCTCCAAACAGACCCTCTCAAAATAAACAAGTAAAAATTAAAGAGATTCCCCAATTGTATCATGGCTGGCCGGGACCACCTAGGAGTCTCCCCAGAGTTCTCCCTGCTTCTGCTTTTGCCTCTTTAAAAAAATCCATCTTTCCGACATCCAGGGAGTTAGACGTGCACTGGCCACCAGGGGGCGATGCAGAACATGGCCAGCGTCTGAGACCCGGCACTGCCAGGATGGGGGCCCCCACACTCCCAAAATAGGACCTACCAGAACTGACCATGGCAGGATGGTGGAGCAGGTGAACTGGCGGTGCCTTGGGTGCCAGGCCAAGGGGGTGCAAAGGGAGGCCCCAGCTGGCAGCCGCTAGGGATCCTACCCGTGTATGAATTTCATGCACTGGGCCTCTAGTATATTGCTAAAATGATCAGAAACTCCCCCCCCCCCAAAAAAAAAAGCTACTATGACTTTTGGCCACAGAAGACCAAAGTCCTAAATAGCCTACCCCTGTGACCTAGGCCATTCGTCCTTTCATCCACTCTAGTCTTTCTGCTCCTCAGGCACTGGCGCTAGCTCCTGCCTCAGGGCCTTTGCACTGCTGTTCCCTCTGCCAGGACCGCTCTCTCCCCTGGAACCGGCAGGTCCTCAGAGAGGCTTTCCCCGACCTCCTGTGACGCGCCCCAGGTCATGCTCTGTCACAGGCCATTCTAACTTTCCGCACGGCACCGACTCCCTCGCGCTCTGCTGGTGTTCCTGCTGTGTGCTTGTCACCTGTTCCCCCACCAGAATGCAAGTCCCTGACGGCGGCGGCCTGGTCTGGCTTCCCTGGGGCGGGGCAGGGCTTTGGGCAGCGCTGGAGAGGCGGGATGGAGCTCCACGCACCCTCCCCGCTGCCCGCGGGGCCGCCCCGGCCTCACCTCCAGGGCGTCCAGGCTCTCCTTCACTCGGATCTTGGCGGACTTGAGCTTCTCCCGCAGCTGTTTGTAGTACGTGGACGGCACGTCCAGGAACTCCATGCCCCTCTCTCTCAGGTGGCGGATCTGCTTCGGAACAGGGTCGAGGTCGGCCTCCTCCGCCAGGCTCAGCATCCCTGGCCAGGTGCAGGTGCAGGTGCGGGCCGGGAGGAGGCGGGGTCCCTGTCCTAGCTCCCCCAGACGGCCCGGGTGTGCTGCGACCCTGTGCCCTTCCCCCTCGGGGGCGTGTGGCCCCCCTCAGGAGAGCAGCCATCACGGCACTGCCCAAGCACTGCCATCTCCGGAGGCCCTCGGAGGATACTGTCCCCGTTTCACAGCCGGGGAAACCGAGGCACGGAGAGACTAAGTACCTCTTCTCAACCTCACCCCCAGAGCGCCGGCCATGTCGCCGCTCTGCGTGCCCCACGGGGGTGTCCCGTCTCAGAGCGGAAGTCCTCACTGTCTGCCCCCACTCCCGCCTGCTCACCTGGGCTCCTGCCCCTCTCTCCTTGGCTCATGCTGTTCCAGCCACGTGACCCTGCTGTTCCCGCAGCCTCCCTCTGCCCTGGCTGTCCCTTCTGCGGGTGCTTCCCCCCAGAGAGCCACGTGCTTCTCCCACTCTGCCCCTTCCAACGCCGCATTCTCTCATGTCTCCTCAGGGGGGTCTTTCCCGACCGCCCCGTGCACGGGGAGGCAGATCTGTGACGTGTTCCGGGAACGGTGCTCCTTCCGACACCCGCCCCTCCCACTGCCTCTTCCTCCAGAGCGCTCTCTGCCTTCCCACACGTGCATTTGGCTTGTTTCGATTCCTGCCTCCATGGAAGGGTCCCAGGTACCCAAAACAGCAGCCAGCACACAGTCAGCCCTCACTAAACATCTGCTGAGTTGAGTGAGTGAATGAACGAAGGAAGGAAGGAATGGAATTGCCAGGGTCACGCAGTGAATTCTCGGTTGGGCTGGGCTGGAACGGGACAGTCGGCCACGCTGCCACATGCAGCTGTAGAAGGAGCAGGGAGGACCCGGCCGCCCCAGGGGCCGGAGCCATAGACTCTGGACGTTTAATTTGGCTCTGAGGACCCGATCCCTCCGGACTGAACATCCCCCTTTTCACGGCGAGGCAACGGGAGCCCCGAGAGGGCAGTGGGATCCCCCGGAGAAACACAGCGAGTCCCCAGCAGGCAGGACCGGGCGGAGAGGGCGGGCCTCCAGTTAGCTCTGGCGCCTGCTGTCGCTAAGGCCCGGGACGTGGCTCTGGAGAGAGGTGAGCTCTGCAGGTGGAGGATGTGCTGCCCACGAGGGGCAGGGACCCGCAGGGGCTCCGTCAGCCTCGGGCCGGTGAACGGGGGCTGCACTGCCCCCCCTTTCCTGTTTGCAGGGATCGGCCCTGGCGCTGAGTGGGGGGTGGGTCGGGCCAGGGACGGGCTGCTCACCGCGGTGATGATGTCCTGGGTCTTGAGGGCGATGTGCTGGACGCCTGCGCCCCCGTTGTAGTCCACGTACTCCTGCGGGAGGACATCCTGTCACCGTCCCGTCCCGACCCCACTGGGGCCCTCACCCCTCCTCTCGTGCCCTCCTCCCCTCGCCGGCCCCATGGGGCCCTCACCCCTCCTCCCGGTGCCCTCCTCCCCTCGCCGGTCCCACCGGGGCCCTCACCCCTCCTCCCCACGTCCTCGCCTGCCCACTGGCCCCACCGGAGCCCTCACCCCTCCTCCCGGCGCCCTCCTCCCCCCACCCGCCGGCCCCATCAGGGCCCTCACCCCTCCCCGTGCCCTTCTCCCCTCGCCGGCCCCACCGGGGCCCTCACCCCTCCTCCCCACGTCCTCACCCGCCCACTGGCCCCATCAGGGCCCTCACCCCTCCTCCCCACGTCCTCACCCGCCCACTGGCCCCACCGGGGCCCTCACCCCTCCTCCCCGCGCCCCCCTCCCCCCACCCGCCGGCCCCACCTGGATCTGGGACTTCTTCCTGCCCGGCGCCGGCTCGTTGATGGGCATCTTGATGGACTCCTCGTAGTTGGCCACCACGATGGAGCGCAGGGAGCTGTACTCCGTGTGCACCTGCGTGTCGTCCACGGACCAGAAGCGGTGGAACTGCAGGTTGTTCAGGTACCTGCAGGGGCGGGAGGGGCCGGGAGCACGGGGCGCTGGGCCGGGCCGGGCCCCTCTCCTAAGGTGACCAGACGTCCCGCTTCTGGCGGTTCAGCCCCGATGTTCAACAGTGTGTCCCGCGCCCCGCGGCGTGTTAAGACAGCCCCGAGGTTTAACACGCCGTCGGGCGGGAGCAGTCTTGTCACCAGGCTCTTAGGGGAAAGCAGCGCCTCCACAGCCAGAGCTGTGAGCGGGGGCCCTTGCTCCTAATTTGCACAAGGGTGCTCCTTGGGTGGGGGCAGTACCTCCCGGCCTCCACCTGTGGGTCATTTTGGGCCTTTTTTTTTTTTTTTCTCTTTAAATATATTTTATTTTTATTTTTATTTATTTATTTATTTTTACAGAGAGGAAGGGAGAGGGATAGAGAGTTGGAAACATCGATGAGATAGAAACATCGATCAGCTGCCTCCTGCATATTCCCTACTGGGGAGGTGCCTGCCACCAAGGTACGTGCCCTTGACAGGAATCGAACCTGGGACCCTTCAGTCCGCAGGCCAACGCTCTATCCACTGAGCCACATCGGTCAGGGCCACTTTGGGTCTTAAATCCTCTGGTCTCCATGGAGACGGTTCTACAGGGAACAAGCCTCAAGCGAACTTCCTACCACCCGGCGCTCTGGGGCCCACGCCGGTGTCCGGGGACAGGGACCCGGGGGCGTGGGCTCTGCGGGGAGGGCCTGGGCGGGGGCTCACCAGTCCGAGGCGGACAGCATCTCCTGGTCCGGCTGGTTGCCCACGATGTGGTCGATGACCTCGAGGTTGCTCTGGGGCCTGGGAGAGGGACTCGGTTAAGGGCCGAGAGTCACTCCCTCACCCTGCCCTCCTTCCCTCCGGCTCCTCGGCCACTGTAACAGCTCCCTGATGCGTGGCACCCGCTACTGGCCTCTTATTTCTTATTTCTGTCACCCTTACCAGCCCCATTTTACAGGTGAAGACACGGAGGTGTGGAGAGGCAAAGTGACTGAGAAGTGGCAGAGCCAGGATTTGAACCCAGGCAGGCTGGTTCCAGAGCCCACATCCTTAGGCTCTGTGCTGCCCCTCCATGCCACCCGTGGGGGCCCTCAGGGGCTCCACCCCTACGGAGAAGCCCAGAGGAGGGAGCACTGTCCCGGGAGCACTCACAGCTTGGAGAGCGCGCTGTCCCTGTCGGTCGTGGGATTGAACCCGGGCAGGAAGAAGCCGGTGTAGTTCATCTTCTCCACCAAGGTGTGTGTGGTGTCCCCGTACTGCGGGCGGAAACCAGGCTGGCTGGGCCCCTCCCTGCGCCCCCTACCCCTCGGAGGCCAGCTCTGCCCTGGGTCCCAGCCCAGGGCGGGACCCTGACCCGCTGTGTGACCTGGGCAAGTCAGTCCCTTCTCTGACACCAGGGAATTCCTCTGACTCTGTGTGTCCCCAGACCGAGCCTCTGCGAGGCGGGGACGCCGGTTCAAGGCCGTGTGGTGGGCATTTCAGTCAGTGCCCGGTGCCGTGAACAGATATGACTACGAATGACGAGGGCCTTGGATTAGGCCGTGCCAAAGGCGCTGTCGATGGGAACCTTTTTAAAAAATATATATTTTAGCCGAAACCGGTTTGGCTCAGTGGATAGAGCGTCGGCCTGCAGACTCAAGGGTCCTGGGTTCGATTCCAGTCAAGGGCATGTACCTTGGTTGCGGGCACATCCCCAGGAAGGGGTGTGTAGGAGGCAGCTGATCGATGTTTCTCTCTCATCAATGTTTCTGACTTTCTATCCCTCTCCCTTCCTCTCTGTGAAAAATCAATAAAATATATTTAAAAAAATAAAAAATATATTTTATTGATTCTTTTACAAAGGTTAAGTAGTGCGTCTCAGATCAGACAGAGGGCCCAACCCCAGTCCTTGCTCGTTAAATGTGGCTGCAGAGAGGTGCAGTGATTTGCCCAAAGTCACACAGCTGGCTCAGGGGTACGGCCTCCCCAGACCCCGCCTGAAGCTTCTCACCCCATGACGAAACCCCCTGGGGAGGAAGGGAAGTGGGGAGAGGGTAGACGGGGTGGGGGGCGGGGGTGGCAGGTAGCGCCCATCGGCCTCTGCACCTGGGCAGGCGCTACAGGTGAGCAGACTCGGGGAGAAGGCTGTGCTTTGAAACGCGGGGGGCAGGAGGGGTCTGTGCCGGCGGGGCGTCCCGGCAGCTCAGTGGGTGCGGGTGGCAGGAGGGTGGGGGCGCCGGGGGCACTCACCGTCTGCAGCACGGCAAACTTCACCTTCCCAAACTTGTCCTGCTCCACCCAGGGCTCCCGGATGATCTTGGCGCCCCGCTGCCGGGCTTTCTGCGGGGGAGACGGCGGGGAGGCGGTGAGGGCCGGACGTCCGGCTGGGCCACCTCTGCGGGCCCCGCCCCTGCAGGATCCCCGCCGGCTCCTGCACTCGGCCCTGGAACCCAGGCCTCACGCCCGTTTGGCAGATTGGGACACGGAGGCCCCAGGCCCAGAGTTGGTTCTAAGGGAGACAAAGCCAGCTGGGGGTGGGGGTCTGTCTGCCTCTCCTAACTCCCTCTGTGGCCCTGTCCCCTCTCCAGTCCTCCATTCCCCCATCTGTAAAAAAAAAAAAAAAAAAAGGGGGGGTGGGGGGTGTTCCATAAGAAGAATGTGAGCTGGCATTAACTGAGCACCGATGATGTGTCAGCCCTCTGCCAGGTGCCTTGCACACGTGATTCATGTATGTGTGTAGTGCATCTATGCTTGTCACATGTGAGGCAGTGCTGTAGGTATTAACCTCTTTCGTCCTCACATTATGCGAAAAGTGCTCCTATTGTCGCCACTTTATAGGTGAGCAAATCGAGGCACAGAGAAGTGAAGCCCCTTGCCCGAGGTCACACAGCAAGTACGACTCGGGCCCAGGCAGTCTGCCTCCGGGATCTGGGATCTGAACCTCTAAACTGCCTCTCGGGTGAATTGTCTGGGGTAGAGTCGTGCTCAAGGAGTGGCCACTGTGCCTTGGTGGTGTGGCTCAGTGGTTGGGTGTCGGCCTATGAACCAGGAGGTCACGGTTCGATTCCCGGTCAGGGCACATGCCTGGGTTGCAGGCTTGATCCTCAGGAGGCAGCTGATCAATGATGCTCTCTCATCATTGATGTTTCTATCTCTCTCTTCCTCTTCCTTCTTCTCTGAAATAAAAAAAAAAAAAAGAGCCAAAACCGGCTTGGTTCAATGGATAGAGTGTCGGCTTGGGGACTGAAGGGTCGCGGGTTCGATTCCGGTCAAGGGCATGTACCTTGGTTGCGGGCATATCCCCAGTAGGGGGCGTGCAAGAGGCAGCTGATGGATGGCTCTCTCTCATCATTGATGTTTCTATCTCTCTCTCCGTCTCCCTTCCTCTCTGAAATAAATAAAAAGAAAGAAAAGAAAGAAGTGGGCACCGGGACCTCCTTGCCCCTTTGAGAGCTCAGTGAGGTGGGGGTGCTGTGGTGACCCCCATTTCCTCGCTGTGGAAGCTGAGGCTCAGAGAGAGGACGCGCAGTCAGGGCAGGACGTCCCTGGGAGTCCAGCGCGTGTCCCTCAGCCCAGCGGTGCCCTCCTGCCCCGGCCGGCGGGCCGCTGTGGGGTCAGAGGGCAGGCCCCGCCTGCGGCCCGCGCCCGCCCGGCGCCGCCTCACCTGCACGATGTAGTCGCAGTCCTCCACCTCGAACGCGATGTCCTTCACTCCGTCCCCGTGCTTCACCAGGTGGTCGCCCATCTCTGTGGCCGCAGGGGCGGGGGAGGAGGTGGAGTCACGGCCCCTCACCCGTGCTCCCCGCCTGCTGGGCTCCGTCTCCTTCTAGGCTGAGGCCCCCTCCCTGACCCCCGACCCCTGACCCCACCCATGATGCCAGGTCTCCAGCCCCGGGCACCTCGAACCCCTCGGGGTGGGGGCGGGGGTGCCCCCTCACCTTTGTTCCAGGGGTTGAGGGCAGAGGAGAAAATGAACACAATCTAGGACACAGAGGAGCAGGCGGTGAGCTGTGGCCCTGGGGACCCCACCCCTCCTCCCTGCTCGCCCCCGACGCCCCTGGTGGGGCCAGAAGGAACCAGCATAGCCCCCTCCAGCCAGGGCCCGGCCCCGGGTTGCAGTCCCTGCCCTGCCTCAGTGTGTCCCTTGGTCCTGAAGGACTGGGGGCTTCTGTGTGCCCGCCACCCCGGGGGCCTGGGGCAGCTGCTGAGGCCTCTGGGCTCAGACTTCTCGCTCCGGTGCCTGAGGCCTCTACCCATTTTCCCTGAGCACCGGTGAGGCCCGCATCGGAGAAGGAGGAGAGACTAAGAAGATCCCTGCTGTGTGTGGTACCGAGGTGCCTGGTGGAGGGGTCAGGGGTGGGGAGGCCGCACGAGTCAGCTCGGAGAAAGGGCCTTCTGGTCTACCTCACCCAAAGGCATGCGTCTCGGGGAGCTCAGGAAGCAGCAGGAAGGGGGGGGGGCGCTTTCCGGCGAGTGGGGGTCCTTCCGAGGGACTCACCTGCCCTTGTTTGACCACGTGGCTGACCACCTCCCTGGAGCCGGTCTCCAGGCCCTTGTAGGCGAGCGGCTTAAAGCCCATCTTGCTGCAGTAGAAGGACGCCGCCTGCAGGCATTGCAGGGCCCCCGTGAGGGCCCAGGGGCCGTCTCCGGGGCCCCCACGAGAGCTCCATTCCCCTCAGCTGCCCGGCCCCACGGCCCCAGGGCAGAGTCATTCCCGCGAGAGAGGCTGCCCTCTGACCCCACCTGACCGCAGATAAGATTCCTGCTGGGGTCTGGCCCTGACTGTGTAAATAGGACCTGGAGTGTCTGTCCTTCTCGGAGCCGGTCCCAGCCTTGCCCCTGATCCTCCCCTCCTGGGAGCCAATCACAGGCTCCGCTGGAGTCCTCCCCGGCCCCCGAGGTCCTCCCCGCCCACCCTCTGCCCACCCCGGGACCTCGCCAGGCCCCTACCTGCTTGGCATTGCCAACCCAGAAGGTCACCGAGTGGAAGTGGAGGAATCGGCCTCTCTCCGGCTGAGGGGGGAGAGGGGGGAGGCTGAGCGCCTGGAGGTGGGCACCTGCCTGGCCCCCCCCTGGGCTCCCAGCCGGCCAGGATGCAAAGCCGGTTTCTCCTGGGGCCAGGGTTGGGGAGCCCCTCGGAGGCCTTCCCGGCTCTCACAGAGGGAAACAGCTACAGCAGCCCAGATTGCAGCGGGACCTTAGGAAGAACTTCCGGGCAGGATTGAGAGATGGACAGGAATTTAAGGAGAGGCGGGTGTTTTTCTTAGGAAGGCGAGGGTGCATCCAGCACGGTCTGGGGGCCAGAGGGGACCTTGAGGTGCATCTGGGACATCACAAGCCTGTCTACTTACTCATGTTTTTCACCCCTCGCCGAGGACATTTTTTCCATTGATTTTTATTTTTATTATTTAAAAAAAAAAAAAAAAAAAAAAATATATATATATATATATATATATATATATATATTGATTTCAGAGAGGAAGGAAGAGGGATAGAGAGATAGAAACATCAATGATGAGAGACAATCATTGATTGGCTGCCTCCTCCACACCCCACACCAGGGATAGAGCCCGAAACCTGGGCATGTGCCCTGGCCAGGAATCAAATTATGAACCCACCCTGGTTCATAGGGTGACACTCAACCACTGAGCCACGCCGGCCCTGGGCTCCATTGATTTTTAGTGGGAAAGAGAGAGAGAGAGAGAGAGAGAGAGAGAGAGAGGGAGGAACATCAATGTATGAGAAACACATTGATGGGTTGCCTCCCGCAAGCGCCCTGATGAGGGCTGGGGATCTAACCTGCAACCCTTAGGCTTGCCTGGGCGGGCACTCTAACCACTGAGCCCACCAGCCAGGGCCTTATTCCCCTTCTGAGGTTTGCTGACCACCCCCCAGTGTCCCTGGGCCCCGGCCCACATTTCCCCTTCTGCGTACCTTCTCTCCTTTGTTGGTGTAAGACGTCTAAGGAGAAAGAAAAGGATAGTGAGGCTCGGAAACTCAGCAACACGGTGTGTCTGGCCGTCTCCCTGCTGGCCGTGCCCCCTGGGGAAGCTGCCATGGCCCTGGGCAGGCACTTACCATGGTGGGGCGTGGTCACGGCGTCCTGCTGGGAAGACTGGGACGAGAGGCTGGGAGGAGTGCTGGGCAGCGGTATTTAACCCCCAGCAGGTCCCGCCTCTGCGTCTTCCCAGGGGGGAGGGGGTCGAGGGGGAGGAGCTGATGCCAGCCCTGGCAGCCCATAGGCCTGGACACCTGCGGTCCGGCAGCCTCCCCGCACGGGGCAGTGCCGCCCGGTCCGGAGAGGGGGAGTGACTGGCCCAGGGCCACTAGGCCGTGGCCAGGGCACGAAGCCAAAGGCACATTCTTTCGAGGACCATGGGCCTGGACTGTGACCTCTGCCCTCCAGAACCTACAGCTCAGAAGCCAAGGCCAGCTGCTGGAGCCCAGGGCCGGCCCCAGAATTGTTGTTCAGGGAGCATGGGGGTAGGAGGGGATCAGGAACTAGGCTGCTGTGTCCTGGGTGGCTGACGGGAGACACCGAGCCCCTCGGAGCCTCAATCTCCCCGTCTGTGAAATGGGAGCGTGGATGGGGTGGTGGGGGGTGAAATGCGATAGAGCCCGCGTCTTTGGGGAGAACCTGGTGCGTAGTAGGGGCTTTGTCGATGGTGGTTATGATGAGTTGTGTTTCTTTGGAGAATGGGATGGGGCCTTGGTGTTGCCGCAGCCTGAGTCTGGGGACAGAGGTCACAGCGCCGCCCCTGGCCCAGGTTTCCGTATCTCCAGGTGGCGGGAGGCCTCGCCCTCCCAGAGGATCGGAGGATGGAGGGTGAGTGAGGATCGGAGGATGGAGGGTGAGTGCTGGCCGGCCGTGGCGTCGCCCTGAGGGTCAGCACAGCCCCAGGCCCCAGAAGCTCCAGGCTGAGCCCTCTCTGCAGGGACCCGACCCGACATTATGAACTCTCTGGGGGATGATTCCGAGTGGTTGCCTGGAAACGCTTTTTCCAGCCCCGGCACCGACCGACGTTGTCCGGCACAACTGGGCTACGGCTCTCTTGCCGTTTGGCTCCCAAAAGGTCCTGCATCCGTCGTCTTCACAACAACACCGAGAGACGGCTCCTCCCGCTGGTGATGACCTCAGGGATCACCTGGCACAGCGTTTCCCTGTTCCAGGCGAGAAAAACCGACAAATAGCAGGCGAGGGCTGGGCCCCTCCCCACGAGCCTGGGCCCGGGGAGAGCAGAGGTCCAAGGTCCGGCCTGCGTGCTCCCACCAGGGGAGCCCGTTCCCCCGCCAGGCACCTCCTCCCTTCTCGCTCGGTTTTCTTCTGTTGTTGTTATTTTTTAAATTCTCACCCGAGGACATTTTTTCCCATCGATTTTTTTTTTGGGGGGGTGGGGTGGGGAAGAGTGAAAGGGAAGGGGAGAGACAGAGAGAGAAACCTCAGTGTGAGAGAGACACAGCCATGGGTTGCCTCCCGCACGTGCCCAACTGATCAGCCCAATCGGCCGGCGACTGAGCCTGCAACCGAGGAACATGCCCTCGACCGGAATCGGACCAAAGACCCTTCGGTCCGCAGGCCAATGCTCCAACCACTGAGCCTGAGAAAGTCATCCTACCCTGGCCACATTTGGTTCCTGTGATCTTGTTTGCTCATCTCCTGACCACATCCTTGATGCCTGTAATCTCACTTCACCATCGGTCAACCACCCATATCTCCCTAGAAGCTGAGTCCGTATCTGAGAGACAAAGGAGCTAGCGGGAGGGGGAGAGGGGAAGGCCAGGCCCCACTGCTGCTCGGGGCTCAGCCTCTGGGGAGACTCCGCTGAGCCAGCGCCGGTGCGGAACACACAGTCCTTTCCTGAACCTCCGCGTCTATATGGTTTTTATTTGTGTGTTTTCAAAATATATATATTTATATTTTAAATATATTTTATTGATTTTTTTTTTTTTTTACAGAGAGGAAGGGAGAGGGATAGAGAGTTAGAATCATCGATCAGCTGCCTTCTGCTGCACTCCCCCTACTGGGGATGTGCCCACAACCAGGGTACATGCCCCTGACTGGAATCGAACCTGAGACCCTTTAGTCTGCAGGCCGATGCTCCATCCACTGAGCCAAACCGGTCAGGGCAAAATATATTTTTATTGATTTCAGAGAGAAAGGGAGAGGGAGAGAGAGAAACATCAGTGATAAGAGAGAATCATTGATTGGCTGCCTCCTGCACGCCCCACACTGGGGAATAAGCCCTCAACCCGGGCATGTGCCCCGACCGGGGAATCAAACCTTGACCTTCTGGTTCATAGGTCAAGGCTCAACCACTGAGCTATCCTGGCCAGGTGCTGTGGTGGTTTTTTGTGTTTGGTTTTTTGCTGCGATATGCCTTAGCCAGAGAAGGACTTTGTGCTGGCTCCTTAGCACCCGCCAAACGGGGCCGGGCTCAGGTGTGCTGGCAGCAGTGGGCTTGGGCCCTGCGCCCTGGCAGGGGCACTGTTTGGGGAAGGAAAGAAGGAAGGGGCAGGAGCTGTCCTCCCGGAGGCTGGAGGTGCCGTCCCTGCTCTGCAAACACTGGCCTCTCTTCCTCAGACCTTGGCCCGGGTGGCTGGGCCCTGGGCTCTGCTCTGAAGACCTTGCTTGCAGTGTGCTCGGCACCGGCCCAGGCGCCTGGGGGCGGCGGGCAGGGCCTCCTTGGCGGCTGCCACACGGCTGATGCCTGCGTGGCTGTGGTGTGACATGGGGAGCAGTGAGAGGTGCAGACCGCCTCTGGGGTGTGATGGTAGAGGGGTCCTGGGGCGAGTCCACTAGCCAGAGCCCTTGGCTCATTCTGGCTAAGCCGGGGGCGGGGGGAGAGGGACGTGGGAGCCTGTGCCCTGGTGCCTTTGCATGTGGTTCTCTCCTCTGGCGGGAGGGGAAAGGTCAAAGCCGTCTTCAGCGCTGGAGCCAGGCTTTGGAGAAACCAGAGGGGGGAAGAGGCAGCGGGGGAGGGGGATCCCCTCCCCCCATAAATGCTGAATTCACCGCGAGGGGGTTAAGTACCTGTGCCATGGAAGCAAAGGGGGAGGGGTTTGTTACAAAGAACGGCTCTGTGTTTTATAGCTGCCACCTCTGGGCATGCGGTTAGAACGGACGGACGTCAGATGTCAGGGGCTTCATATTGCAGGCACGCCAGAGGGCTCCTCACCGTCCGGGGAGCTGGAGGGTAAGGTGTCACGGACACCCCCCCACCCCACCCCACCCTGCATTTCGCCGTGTGGGCCCCTAGGAACCGAAGCGTTCGTGCCCCTCAAGGCTTTGTCTGTGAGGTGATGGGGAGCAGAGTTGCAATCTCATCCAGACTTTAAACGCTTCTCCGGTTAAGGCCAGCAGCGTAGGGAGGAGAGCTGAGCAGGAAACTCAGCTGGGTGTGGTGCTGAGCTTGGACAGAGTGGCCCAGTGGCCTGTTTGTGATTCACATTATATTCGGGGGCCGTCAATAAACCAAGAGGCTTTCGTTCATCTGGAAACTGGACCTCAAAGCAGTGACTACAGGACCTTCTCTCCCCGGCCCCGAGACAGAATTAGGGAGGGCGCAGAGGCACAAGGCTATGGAGAGAGTGTCCCCGTCCCCTCCCACCGGGACTGAGACGTCAGCTGGGGACCTGGAGGGGGGAGGGCTGGCCAGGATGCCCAGCTGTTATCGGGGCTCAGGCAGCAGGGCAGGGCCAGCCGGGTGAAGCTGACCTTTATCTCCCAGGGCACAGAGCCCCGGTGCCCGGCCTGAGGGGCCACAGGCCGCTGTATCCACAGACACAAGGATCCAGAGAGTCAACGGCTCTTTCCCTCCCATCTGGCTTCCTCCTTCCTCTCATCGATGTGGATCCCTGAAAACATCTTTTTTTTTTTTTTTTTTTTTAAGTGGTGTTCATTTGTTTGTTTGTTTATTTATTTATTTATTTATTTTTATTCATTTGTCTTTCAAAGATGGAAGTGGAGGCTGACCTTGGTTTTGAATGGTAAAGCTAGGATTTCAGTCCAGGTTTTTCTGCCTCCATAGCCTATGCTCTTCCCAGCACGGAGGACATTCTTGGGGATGAAAGCATTTCCCTGGTTGTGACTTGAACTGTGTCCCATCCGTGGAACCGGTTGTTCCAGGTTTGCAGAAATTTCTGGACTGTGTGGCTTCCCTTTTTAACTGTCCTCGCCGTGGTTTGCAGATACTACAGGAGTGTAGGAATGCAGTGTACTTTCCTGAAAACACCTTGCACCCCAAGCTCTGTCCCAGCCTCTGCTTCTGGAGAGCCCGTTCCCTGACAGCCCCTTATTCCCTGGGGTGGACAGCCTCTCTCCCACCCTGGCAGGCCATTGCCCGCTAGTAACTTTTATTCTCTCAACGCACTGTGACTTCTCCCGGTTCACAGATGAGGAAACTGAGACTGTGGTTAGAAAACGCTGAGCAGAACCTGGATCCGGACCATTCGTGTCACTGTTTGCGGCTGTCCCAGCAGAACCGGGCCCGTGGGGGAACATGGATATGAGGGTGTGATCCAAACTTTATCCCCTTTCAAGGCCTAAACCAGGTCGTCATGGAGATGTCAAGTACAGCACAGGGAATATAGTTAACAATATTGTAATAACTACCGACGGTGCCAGGTGGGTACTAGGATTATCGCTTTGTAAAGTGTATAAGTGTCTAACCACTGTGCTGAACACCTGAAACTAATCCTATCTAATAAAAGAGTAATATGCAGATTGACCATCACTCCAACACACAATATGGCTTGGCCCTATGTGGTCAAAGGTCCTGCCCCCATGTGGACACATGATGGCCACCACAAGATGGCCAGCAGGGGAGGGCAGTTGAAGATGATCAGCCCTGCAGGGGAGGGCAGTTAGGAGTGACCAGGCCAGCAGAGAAGGGAAGTTGGGGGCAAACAGGCTGGCAGAGGAGCAATTAGAAATCAATCAGGCTGGCATGGGAGTAGTTAGGGGGTGATCAGGCTGGCAGGCAGAAGCAGTTAGGGGCAATCAGGAAGGCAGGCAGGTGAGCAGTTGGGAGCCAGCAGTCCTGGATTGTGAGAGGGATGTCGGAATGCCCACCAGGATTAGG